AAATACTTATTTTTCTAATGTGCCAATGCCTACGGAATGTCCATTGACACTGGCTGTATGGCCACATGGACCAACGTTTAATCGATGGAAAATCACCACACCACCCCCCTACGGATTAATTAAAACTCATGCGTCAAAGAGTTTTGACAGTTCGAAATGCAAGCTCCTATTTTATGACTAATTGCTATATGCGCAAGAATAAAGAACTTATTTCTTTGACTTATAGCAATGTAGCAGGTGGACCGCGAGGAAAATCGACGGCCCAACCATTAGAATATCAAAAATATTTTGTATTAAATCAGTTTATAGTATGTATTAGAACAAAATTTGCTTTAAATGCGTTGAATAACAAATATAAATAAATCAAGATATAGGCTAGTATCGAATGTGTTTCTGTGGCTTCTGCCACCCCTCAAAGCTCGTTTTTTTAGTCAATAACATTTATTTTATAATAATTAAGGTTACCTACATTATTAATGGCGGAAAATGCAACTCAACATCAATTTATAAAAGAAAATCGTATTCTAAACAAAGAAAAACAGGAGATCTCCTGTAAAATCGGGAGACCTGGCAACACTGTATGTGAGCCATAGAGTCGAATGACAAAAAAACAAAGACTTTATATAATACCTAGACTGTGCATGAAATAAATTAGTTAATCTAAAGTAAGATTTATATCTGTAGTAATAGGATAGCTATTATCTTGATAAGCGGTCGCTAGTAAAAACGGTCCTGAGTGAGAAAGCACCCAACGGTAGTGTGTCCCTTTCTAACGTTTTGCCAGCTCAATTTATCATTGGGTTTGGTAGAAATGTCAGAAAATGTCATCCTTTTCTATTTGTGATTTACTGATTAATTACCGATACGAACGATTCGTAAACTAGGTAACGTATTTAAACATTTCTACAGTTCCTATAAACAATAAAATAATCATTGATATTTTTAAAATAAATCTAAATACAGAGTAAAAGTAGTATTTAATTAGTTGAGCCTGGTAATACTGAATGTAAGATGGTGATTTGTTCACTTGATGACAAAGACAATGATGACACTTGATGACAATTTGATTTGAAATATTGTAAATTTGCTTAATAAAGTGTATTTTTAAAATGGTGAACTCGTGTTGTGTAACAGGGTGCTACAATGAATCTTATCCCGGTAGCCCTTTTTCTTTTTACGGGTAAGTAAAACTTACAATCGTATTCATTAGGTGAACCATGAATTTTGGAAGTAGATGAGATTTTTTTTCTTAACATGAGTTGTGTGAATTTAATGAATCAATTATTAAATAATGCAGTCGCGGTTACTTCCTTGTTTCGTAGGTACTTTTTAGAGCGTTTTTAGATTCGTATCATCATCATCATCAGTCTGTTAATGTCCCCACTGCTGGGGCCTTCCCTATGGATGGAATAGGGAGATTGGGCCATGACCCACCAGGCGGGCCCAGTGCGGATTGGCGGGTGCTAACGACTGCAGATGCAGCCGGGACCAACGGCTTAACGTGCCTTCCGAAACACGGAGGAACTCGAGATAGATGTTTTTGGTCACCCATCCAATGACCGACCACTGCGAAAGTTGCTTAACTTCAACCATCGCAGCCGAACGCGCTAACCACCTGCGCCATCGAGCTCCTTACAAAAATAGTTAAAAAAAAAATCTCTTGTATTGTGTAGATTTCCGAAGAACGAAAAGCAGAAATTGATGTGGGAAAATGCAGTGCCTGGAAAAATTTCTAAGTCGTCAGTTGTTTGCAGTGCGCATTTTAAATAAGAATAAGACATTTAAATAAGACTTAGAAGCTACGGGAACTCCTTAACCCTTGAGCACGTAGGACATAAGGCTACATTGCGACAAAAACTGCGCAAAACTATATTATTTAGCAATGTATAAAAACCAATTTTGATAAAAATATTGTAAACAAATGATTGTCTTTTTTCTGTTCAAAATTTGATGAATTTGATTTGGTATTGACCGATTTATCTACCTCACAATATGTGGGTCCCCCTTACCTTAATAAACATACTTTTAAGAGTACTTTCCCTTCAGGTGGCTGGCATTACAAAATTCTACCCTCTTTATCTAATCTGAGTCCAAGCCAAGCTACGCGTGCTAGTTTAAATACCGAATGAAACAGTTCATAGTACCTATGTATTATTATTTTTAAAACCTACATAACTTCGTTTGGTCTGCGTTTAGAGGTATATGCATAGATGAGGTTTTTCATATTAATTAACACTACATAGTCTAAATTACGTAAAATAATAAGTTTTTGTCGATGTAACAGCAAAAAAAAGGTGCCAAAATCAGGTATTGGCATTTATGTTAAATTAATGGTAAGTCTGATGATACATTATTGTTTCTTAGTTTTTCACGCACATCACTCATTAAATAAAACTAGTTTTTCACGGGTTAATGCACGAAACTTTATTTATTTATTGACGTTTCGCAGCCTTTACAGGCCGCGTCGTCGGAATTTGTCATCATACAAAGACTTACTGTATTTTTTTATTACACTAAGTCATGTAGTTTTTAGTTTAACTCATAATCACAAATTACTTACATGTTTAAACAGTAGCAGATACTAAACACAATCCTCTTTACAAGCTATATTAAATAACAAATACTAATAACAAATTTTGTCCCGCGTTACGCTTGAATATGGTCACTTCATTAGAAAGGAACACACTACCATTGGAAGCCCTCTCGCCCGGACCGTTTTTAACGCGAAGGTGCACAGTCTAGGTATTATATAAAGTCTTTGCAAAAAAACAAAACCCGTGGCACGAACTAAATATCGAAATATGGACAAGCAACGTTGACGTTGCGTCAAGCCCATAGACTGCATCCTATATCTATGGTCGAGTCTCATCAAGTAGGTTGTCAAGTACGTAAATGCTGGTTAAGCTTTTAAAAACGTTTATATAGCTTCAGTCACACATAGCCAGTACTTGCTGAGAATGTCTACTCGCCGCGAATATTCGCTGTGTGTGACAGGGGTACTCGCAGTGAATAGCCATTCCACTCAAACGAGCTTCAGTCACACAGTGCGGATACTCGCCGTGAGTGCATTCGCTGCGAATACCAGTCGCAGTGACGAGTGTATGGAGAATGACAAGGATACACTGTTGTCAAATTTACGTTTAGGTTTAGAGAATCATGCCAGAATCGACACCAATGTTTGTTAATTTAACGCATTTCAAGCAAATTTTGTTTTAATACTTACTATAAACTGATTTAATTGAAAATATTTGTGATATTCATACATGGTCGGTAATATAGCCGTCTCTTTTCTTCGCGGTCCGTATCTGCTATATTGCTAACAGCGCATTCAAAATTGCGCGTAGAGTCAAAGAAATAAGGTCTATACTCTTCCGTATATAGCAATAAGTCATAAAATTTTACAAGCTTACATCACGGACTGTCATAACTCTTTGACCCATGCGTTTTAATAGGCTAGTTGACCCTTTTTGGAAAAAGGTTTTATTGAAATGGTTAATAAATGTTCTATTAGACCGAAAAAAAAAATGTATTGTATTTTTTTTAAACCTAGAAAGCTACAAATCTTTAATTTTAAAATAGACTTTTCATGGACATACAAAAACGCTGTCGGCCATTTTAGTCTATAGATTATCTATGCTATGACGTGAACTGTGGTAAACAAAAACTCGTAAACACGTAGAAAATTACTTAAAGCTGAGTTTATAATAAAAAAAAAACATGATTTCTAATAAATACCACGAAAAATAAAGTAATTATCATTACTGTATTGTACGAGAATATAAAAACACATCCTTGAAGACTCCAGGAAAGTTGTGGATTATAGTGCCGAAAGAAATTAACCTACGCAACTTTATTACACTTATTCATATGTTGTATCAGTTTTATGTTTATTACTACATTGTAATACTAAATGCACTGTACTTACATAGATGCCTTGTCGTTTCTCTGCTCCGCAGAGCAGAAATCGGGGTTTAGTGCAACAAATTCACCAACCATCAATGCGTCAATTCTTGGCAGATTTGTGCTTTCTCCTTTTACAAAGCCGGCAACCATAATTAGTTTTGTCAAAAAAAACTAAGTTTACTGTTTATTTCTTTCCTAAAGTTAAAAGTGTTTTAAGATAAATTTAGTCAGACGAAAGAATTCACCTACAGTAACACGTTTAGACATTTAGTTGTTTACCACAAGAGACGTCAAAATCATGGCGGATGTGGCGAACAGCGTTTTTAGTGTTTAAAAAAATATAGACTAAAAAATATTTTTTAAAATTAAATTTCTACAGCAATCTTCTGCTTTTATGAAGTGAAATCGATATATTTAGGTTCCTTACACCAAATACTTTAAGAAATAAACATTTATTTAATACAATTCGACATGAGTAAACTAGCCTATTAAGCCTTCATACAGTGTGCTTTAAAGGTGATTTTCAATGTTTAAATAATGCCTTATATTGTTTAGACTACGTGATCATCTTGTAGAGCTCCGTTGATCGACCAATGTACCTTTTGGACAGGTTTCGGCCATGATTTTGTTCGTGTTGGTGTATCTAGGGTATTTAATATCGTTGGTTTGTACCTTTAATGGTCTAAGGTTTGTACCGACCCCAAACCTCACTGACAACTGACGACCTGACGTAGACACGGTTTAAAACTGTGACCTAGACCCAGGAAGAAAGCGCCTCGTTAACAAGCTCCCTAACGACATCGGCACTCACAAAACGAAAGATAAAAATGTAGCTTAGATTAAATGCTCTAAGAAATATAGTGATTTGATTAATTGCTCAGTGTGAGAGATGGATATTCATAGGGCAATAAAGTTTTTTTCTACAATTTATAAAAAATAGGTGGTAGGTATTATTTGCTGAAAGTAGTAGTAGTAGTTATTTAGATATTTAAAATTCAAAACAACATCAATTCATTCACTATAGGTATGTTTACAGATAAATACAAATGATTATTTTTTTTACTGGCCACTTTTTCCAATACGTGGCATAGGCACGAAGAACTTCCACGTTCGCCGCCATTTTGACATCCAGCGAATTATAAAAGAGTTCAGTGAAGTGTTGCGTTTTTTATTCAAAATAAAGTTATTTGCCGCTGAGTGTGTAAGTATACATCTTAATACTATTGCATTTGTAATACTTTATAAAGTTTTCACAAAATTAAAGCAACTTAAATAGATTTATCGACATTACAACCGAGGCGAGGGTGGCAACCGCAGTTCGGATTAGACGAACAGCGGTGATTGTAATTCCTACGTAAAATGCTTGCCTAACATCGTTTAATCTAGATATACTAACTCACTGACTGTTTAGTTTTTGTTAAAGTGTACGCATTCTTGTAAATTTAGTGTAGCGTAGTAATTTAGATAAATATTGCCAGCGAGGACTTGCCATGTCATTATCATTGATTGAAGTAACGTGCATTCTGACGGATGAGTCAGACTAAAATAATTTAATTTTTCAGATTTCATAGACTCAAAATGGGGAATATGTTTGCAAATTTATTTAAAGGCCTATTCGGCAAGAAAGAAATGAGAATATTGATGGTTGGATTAGATGCAGCTGGTAAAACCACAATTCTATACAAACTTAAATTAGGTGAAATTGTTACAACAATTCCTACTATTGGTGAGTGTTAATAATTCTCATTGTACATATTTACTTTCTGTGTTTTGTTAATTTCTCTTGTTTAACTGTAGTTGATAGTGCAAATGGGAGATTTTTCTGTTGACTGTAGTTTATTTTTATAGGAATTAATATGACTAACTAGGAATATTTACTATATGTTTAATAGCTTGTTAATAATGTAAACATTAGTTTGACTTCTAATTTCGAGTCGGGAGAAATACCTATCATTAGTAAATTAAAGGCATTCTTTAATACAATCTATGATTGATTATGAACAAAGAACTGAAATGATTATGAACAAACTAAACATCAATTTTAATATTAATTTTTAAGGTTTCCTCATATTTGGAGTGATATTCTTCTATTATTTTTATGTTTCAGGGTTTAATGTGGAAACTGTAGAATACAAAAACATCAGTTTCACTGTATGGGATGTGGGTGGTCAGGACAAAATTAGGCCCCTGTGGAGGCACTATTTCCAGAATACACAGGTTTGTAACAATTTATATCAGTACTGTAGAATCTGTTACTTTTTATAAATTATGATTGAAATAGGAATAAACTAGTTAATTATGAATCACCAAAATCTTGCACAAGAACTCTGCTATGTCACAACTATTACACCAAATAAATAGAAAAAATATTTATAATTGTGCAACTTGCCTCTTTTTTACGTGTGACTAATGTAATAAGTTGTTGAAAGTTTTACTTGTTTTTAATAACACATTCATAGATAATAGCAAATTTTTATCTAACAAAGAAGGTTGGCACACTTTCAGGAAGATTTCATATTTTGTTAATATTGTTGTTTTTTTATTAAATTTAGATTAACAAAAAAAATATGTGATGCTATTGATATGAAATTTAAGACATGGTACACAATGGTTCAGACTTAATATAACTATTGAAATTATTCTATTGAGTTTCAAGCTTTGTGCTTTGAACAAATATATTTTAAAATCAACTTTGCAATATGAACTACTTGTGGTGGTGTGCAGTATGGTGCTGTTAACCATACAATATAATTTTATTAATATGTTACACATATTAATATTAAATATGTAAGTGAAGAAACAGCAAATTAATAATTTATCTGAATTAACATGTAATTGGACAAAAAATGGAAATTTATCACATTTACAAAATGCTTATCCTTATTACATTGCCAACTAAGTATTTGCCTGATTTTAAATTGTAATTGAATTAATTATTAGTAACTACTTTAAATTCAATTTGATCCAATTTAAACTGCATCAACTATTATAATGTGATCTTTAATTGTATAATATTCATTTAATAGTAAGGGTAGCAATATTTTAAAATTTTTAAGAAAACATAGGAAGTCAATGAATGTAGAAAATTTCCTTATCATTATATATTCAACTTTCCATATTTCTGATTATGGAAAAAATTGTCACTATAGTTTAAGTACATTTATATATTTAAAAAAAAAAACAATTTCCTGCTCTTCAAATAAATTTGTTTTGCAATATGTGCTTAACTTTCTTGCAAAAAGGATCTTAAAATAAAAGTTTTATAAATTACTAGCGGCCCGCCCTTGCTTCGCTTCGGTGTACAGCTGAAGTGTAGACTACTGTTTTTGTTCTCAGGCTTGTATTATATACAATGACATTCATCTATGATTCTTCTTATACCTGCATGCAAAGTCTCAGTCCGATCAGTTTAATATTGACAAAGTTTCATACTAACTTTCACTCCCTATTTTATCCCCTTGGGGGTAGAATTACAAAAATACATTTGAAAAAAAATACATAGTTTTAATTTATTGTTAAAACTGGGCTTTTATAGACCCCACGCGACGTTTCATAGGGTCAATAACCTCTACTGTGGAGAGCAAAAATTACAATACAGCAAATATAAGTATAGCCATGATTGACTTATTATATATCAAATTCTCTTTCAGGGTCTCATTTTTGTAGTAGACAGTAACGACCGAGAGCGTATTGGCGAAGCACGTGAAGAACTCATGCGAATGTTAAGTGAAGACGAGCTTCGAGATGCTGTGCTTTTGATCTTTGCAAACAAACAGGTATATTGTTTTTTTTTTATTAAAATGTAATATGTTGTACAATACATATTTTTTATGTATACTTACAAACTCTTGTCGTATATCAGACAATAGCTGCATTCGGTATTTGCATCTGAGCAATCTTTTTAGTCTGAATTGTTTGTTTATTACATCTAGAGTTAATCTGAACTATTCAGTAATTCCGCTTAGATCAATCAGATGTAAATATGTTTGCTCCAAGATTTTGACTGACGAGAAAGATTAATCTGCTTATCTGTTTGAGGTTAGAAGTTAATTTACAGTTAGTTCATAGCAATTTGCCTAGATTAATCTGTGATCACGTGAACAAAAATCCATCGCCTCTGCGATGCAAATACCGAACGCAGCCAATACATGACGAACTCCGTGGCGCGAGTGGTATGTACGCCGGGTTTCAATGTATCGCTTACTCAGAGATCCCGGGTTCGAATCCTAGTGGAGCAAATCTTTTTATATTGACTATGAGCATTTGTACCTAAGTAATGGATGTTTATACATATATATATTTCTATTTAATTATACTAATATTTTAAAATACTTTTTATATGTGTATTCTTCAGTATTCTATCGGTTACCCTAGTTTCCCATATTCCCTTAACACAAGCCTTACAGTGTTTATTTTGGGACTAGGCTAATTGGTGTGAGTGTTAGAAATATTTATTTCTAGATACACTACTAATTTTACGAGCTTGCATTTCGAACTGTCATAACTGTGACGCATGGGTGGTGGATCGATCAATGTACCTTTTGGACAGGTTTCAGCCATGATTTTGTTTGTGTTGTTGTATCTAGGGTATTTTATATCGTTGATTTATTATGATTTATTTATTTACACACTAATCCAAGGTGCATTCTTAACTTAAATAAAGAAATCTTAAAAATACACAGTTTCAAAGAGGCTTATTTTTGGTTCATTTTATTGTTTAAATGACCTTGATAGTAAATACTTCGCTTTTTTTGCATTTCAGATATTTTTTATGAAATACAATAATATTAATAGCAGAGCATAAGTATTTTAACATTACTACTTTTTTAACAAAAAAGTTATTAACTCTAAACTATGTTTGTCTGTTATCAAACATAGTTTAATCTTTTTTAAATATTTTAGATTTAATTATGCAGTTGTATGCTGACTGTTTATTAAATCTTATAATCTAAACTTTTAATCTTTAATTTTGTTCAATATTGATTCTTTAAAAAATTGTTTTGATATTGTCTATTAAAAAAAAGTTACTAATCTGTTTTAATGTTTTTTTAATAATCTTCTGTTGTATGTTTGTTAGGATCTGCCAAACGCAATGAACGCAGCGGAGATAACGGACAAACTGGGGCTGCACTCTCTCCGCAACCGCAACTGGTACATCCAGGCAACGTGTGCCACCTCCGGCGACGGCCTCTACGAGGGGCTCGACTGGCTCTCCAATCAGCTCAAGAATGCCAACCGCTAACCATGTGCGCTACCAACACACAGACAAATCTGATTACGAAAGAGACTATGGTTTAAGATATGTTAACTTTATTTGCTATAAAATACAATGTATTATGTGCGGAATCATAAATGTATTACTGATGCGTCACCCGGTGACCGAGCTTTCGTCGCGGGAGGAGTTTACGTTGTGCGCGCGCGCCGAGCCCCAGTGCAGTGCTGTTAGGGTCCACGTTCGAATGCGTTGTCTGTTCGATCCCCGATGACGTTGAACAAAATATAGTGTGTAAATTTAATGCAAAATTACAATTTTGTTTACAATTTATCAGTAAAGGAATGGTGTACACGTTGAGTGAACGCGCATTGTGATGTGGATAGGTACGTAGCTGACGCGTGATAAAGTGAATCACAGCATAACATGTTTTATATGTATACTTTACTATAATGTGGAATAAGTTGTCGTAATAAAGTATTTAAAGTTAATTTACTTCTTGTGACTTTGATTTGTTTAGTGGTATGCCTGTAGCGACCTGGCCGATAGGTAGACGGTAAGCGGTAGGCAGAGCTTTTACCGCTACCTATTCACATCGCTATGTTGTTGAGCTCGTGTGTGTCCTCTATTGTCGCCGATTTTTCTGCATATTCCACTAATACTTTGAATGACTTATTGTATGATGATAGTTTATTTTTTATGGAAGTTAACTAGGTAGAATAAGCTGTTACGTATTTTACATCAGATACACTTCTTTTAGACGGTTCCGTTTCATTTAACGGCTCGTTGTGATGAACCTGCATTTACACGACTTCTCATGGCGATCCGAGATTAACTTGTAATTTAGGTATTAATATGTATTAGATAAACATGGTGTCATCTTGAGAAGTGTTCTCGTTTAATGGGGGACAGTGCTCAGAAGATTCAGCGGTATTTTGCTCTTACACAATTAATTATAACTTAGCGTTTTTTATAATAATTTAGAGAAAATTGTTAAAACACATTTCAGTGGTGCAGTTTGTGGAGGTGTGGCAGATAGACTTTTTTATTTTTATGGAAATCAAAAATGATGAAAAATGCGAAATGTGACATTCCGGTTTGTCTTATTGCTGTATTATGGAATAAAATATCCTCACCGATTTCTGATTTTTGCTTTGAAATGAAGTCCTAAATTTTTATTAATACAAAAATATGCTTGGTAATGGTTAATAAGGGTTTTCTGTTATCCTAGGAATTGGAGATATTTACTTTTTAAAAATTGTGAGATATAATATCTTTAGCCTATTTAGGGGTTTAAACAGCTATGTTATCGTAATCAATAGACCCTTTGACAAAGAGGACACAATTAATAGAGAAAAATATCTGAATAAATATTTTTCTCAAAATCATCTTTTTGATAAAAAAAATCTAATCGATATGGTCATGGTCTGGATCTACACCAAAGCCGGAGTTATTCATAAGAATAGGGGTGATGACGGGGTACAGTAAACGAAATTCTATTTAGTCCGTCAGTTAGATGATCAAAATATAATGGACACGTATTTTTTCTTTGGGCAATCAACCAAAAAATGACAAAGTTATAGCGCGTCAAAGGGGCTCGTGACGTCACTTAAGTGAAAATTGTACCAAAACGTGACGTCATGCGACTTTTCAAATCAATATATCTCTGCATAGTTTATATTATGTGAAAAAAGAAAAAATACGTGTCTAATACTTTTTGATGTTCTACCTGATAAACGTGGAAAAAAAAATATGGGTGCCGTGTACTTAAGTACGCGCGTGAGAAGTTATACTTCTTTTTGGAATTATTAAATAATAGTTTTTAATTGCATGCAGATAATTAATTACAATAAGATAATAAAAGGATTGGAAAGGATAGTTAACGCAGTCAATAAAGTTCAGTTTTAATTTGAAAAATTTAATAAATAATCAAAATATTCAATTTAAATCACTACTGAATAAAATTTATTAGCACATATAAATTTCGCATTTGTATAACATTATAACACGTGTTAAGAATATAGAAACTAGAAACATGTGAATAAATATTATAAATATGAAAACAGTGATCAGAGGCGACGAGCGTCCCAACATGTGCGACTAAGAGATCCTATTACTATTTTGTTGGAAGCTTTTTTTCGAGACTTACGAGTAATGTGCGGTTTAGCGGCCGACTTCATGGTTTTACTTTTCTGTTACAGTGTTGCGCGCGCATCTCAAAATTTCACTCTCATCATTTTTTCATAACGCGCCCGCGGCTAACTTCATTATGTTACTTTTGTATTACAGTGATGCGCGTGCATCTTAAATTTTCACTCTCATAATTTTTTCATAACGCGGCTAAAGAAACTTCAAAAATAGTCATCATCCCTATTATAAAATTACAATATGATCTCACATATAGTTAGGACTAAAAGACCTATTAGCAGGCTTAAATTTAGAGATTTACTGTAAGAATAAGGCTCAACTCACACCAAAAGAGCGTCGAAGCGCAGCGAAGCGGAGCGCAGATTCAGTGTCATAATATGAATTTTAACTTTATTTTCATTATTATAATACTTATTATTGCATGAGAAACTCGAACGACCCCCGCGGCGCCGCGGGAATTCCGACGAATTCCATAAGCGCGCCTTCTCTACCGAGCGGGTCGCTGCGCTTCGCTGCCCTTCGCCGCTCTTTCGGTGTGAGTTGACCCTAAAAGAAAAGAGCTTTTTATTAGTGTTGTATATGACATTATTAGTCTAGGAAATGAAGCTCAAAAAATGGCTTATCTTCGCAATTTTTTGAATAAGGCTTATCTTACCCTCTTCTTCAAAATCTATATCATGCCGATGGGCGCCGTTTATTTTTTAAGGGATGAAAACTACCCCTAATTGTAAAAACTTATAAAATAACAATTTAAACCTTAATATGGGTAAAATTTGGTTTGGGTTAGTTAAATAATGATTGTTGTATGCTTTGGAATACAGTTTTATATTATTTCAACTCTTAAATTGCAATGCTTGTTAGAGGTTACTGAAAAAATAGATTAAGTACCCTAAAAAATAAATTAATAGCTTGACAGAGTTATTAATTCAAAAATATTACTGCTTGATATATTACCAATTTCATTAATTAATTTGCAAATTTTCTACCCTTATAAACTACTTCTTACAACATTGCAATCTTTGGAAAAAAAGAGAAAATCTGCGGTGCGGTGCTCCTACAACAGATGCAAGACGTCGCAGCTCTAGGCCGCGGCGCCGCCGCAACGCATCGTGTACTTGGCTGAAGATGAATGAAAATTAAATTTGAAATGTAGCTGGTGACGAGGTAATTTTAATCAACAAAATACCTGGTTAAATAGTTGCGAGTTAGGGTCTCTTGGGCCCCCTGATGTTAAGGTTAATTTGAGTCCAGTACAAAAGATAGCTTATGTAACAGACAGCTGTGCCGCCGCTCCAATCAGTCCGGCCTGATTGAATTTATTCAATTACCAAATAAATTCATTGGAATCATTGGTATGAAAAGGAAAGCTATCAAAAACTTTATGGCAAATTCTGAAGAAAGAAAAAATCCATTGAGGATCTTCATCCTCAATGGATTTCTTTTGCAGGGAGGAGAGGTCAGGTTACTACCACCTGTCCCACTATTTGTTCTACAAATCGTACAAGTAGAAAAAAAGCTAATTTATTCTATTAGTAGAACAACGTATGCCAGTAAATAAATAAATAAATATATCCCACACACTCCAATTAGCCTTGCCCCAAAGTAAGCACCGTAAGGCTTATGTTATTAGATGCTAGGGTAACGGATAGAATACCTACTTAATATAAAATATATACGCTCAAAGATCGAAAACGCTCAGTGAGCGGAAAAATAGCCCACAACGCGTTGTGGTCACAGTAAAATATCCACATGGCGAAATTCGTATTATGGCTCTAATGAAAACGCGCACGACGCGTTGTGGCAATCACAGAAAGACCAAATAGCGAAATTCGTGTCGTGGCTGACATGCTATTCGATCTCAACGCGTTGTGGCAATGAAGAATAGCCATGACGCGTTCTGAGCATTCATTGTTTTAACCATATCATGACAGACAGGTTGTAAGTTGATAGAGGACGTGCAGCACCCAGGAATGTTATGTATATTGTTCTGAGCATTAATCCATCAGGTCTCTACCAGTTAGGAAACAAGGAAGGTACATTCGATAGACTTTATGCACGTAATGAGTTTACACTTTCTGAAACCAACTTTATTAACATTTGTGATGTGCCCTTAACTTCGTCATTAACAGTTCGCTCAGCATCTATGTTATCATCTGGAAGTAAGCAAGGGTTTGTAATGTGCCACTACAAAAGATACTGTATTGATAATAAAAAGTGCAAGTGTCGCTCCAAGAATATAAAATGCAACTCAAAATGCCACAGTAATACTTAGTTCCTGTAAAAATAAATAGCAATCAAATACTTATTTTTCACAGTTATAGTAATTTCTAATATAAGTAATTGATTTAAGTACATTGTTGTTATTTATTGGTGATCAATAAACATTTATGTTTGTGTTAAATATTTTTATTACTTGAAAGAATAATAAATTGTCATAAAAAAATAAATTCCCTAATTATTTTAAGTGAATTATAAGTATATTCTGACGATGCAGACCTGAAAAGGCCGCGAAACGTCAATAAATAAATAAAGTTTCGTGCATTAACCCGTAAAAACTAGTTTTATTGAATTATAAGTAATTTACAAATGATTAATATTTTGTATTCAGTAATTTATTTCTTAATACGTTGATTTTTTTAAAATATAATGTAATCTCAATAAATAACAAATATCGTTTTATTGTAGGGGAGAGTGGGGGAATTGCGGACGCGGGGTAAATACAGACTAGCAAGTATCTACTCATTCCCTCTACCCGCGGCAGCCCGGTGCTGTCGTCTGTTTCTTTCCGCTATTTTAGTGCCACGCAAAAACTTACGACAGCCGGCTGCGCACAGTTTGAAAGGTAGGTAAAATTAAAAAAAAAAGTGTATATTGATCTAATTTTTAGTGTTTTTTTATTCGAGGGACAGGTCTGTATACTAAGTGATGGTAAAAAGTGATATTTTCTATGGATAGCTTTGTCAATGGAGTTTGAATCGCCAATGTTTGTTTTTATGGAACGTTTTCATAACCTACAAATTTCTCTCTTTGATTTAAAAATACCCAGTTGGGTTAATTGCGGACACGGCTAGCGGGGTAAATACGGACGTCCGAAAACCAAAGTACGACAAGTCAATCTTCATCAGTACCGCTTAGTGATTTAATAAAGGTCCCAACTCTACAAATTCATCGTAGCAAACGGTCAGTAAACAAAAAGCATTCCATCATTTTTACCAGCACACCGGAAAAAAAGAATCTAGAAGAAAAGGAACAAAAGAAATTAGACAAGAAAAGAAGAGCTCAAGAAAAAGAAAATAACTACATCTAAAAAGCTAAAAAGTCAAAACTTCCTAATAATTTTGAAAATGAAGGAAATGTTGATTACTTTTGCATTTATTGTCAGGAAGAGTACAGTAATCCACCCGCCGAAGACTGGATTATGTGTTTAAAGTGTAACAAGTGGGCTCATGAGAACTGCACTGCAGGAAGTTCTTCTAAAAGCTTTACTTGTGATTTTTGTCTATGATGTGGACCTAGTCCGTAAATACCCCATGCTGTCCGTAATTAACCCAGGGTCAGTCCGAATTTACCCCGAGCGCTACGGGTAATTACGGACAGACAAGGTTTTGTTTTTGCTAAAAATATTCTATTTGTTGATTGATCTCGTTTAATAAGTATAATTGTTTTTGTAGATGTATAACTAAAGATTAATAATTAATAAAGACAGACTGATTATCACTCTCACAATAGTACGAATGCTGTGCGTTATTTCCCTTCAGCGTCCGCAATTCCCCCATCCTCCCCTACTTTATATAATTATATAACATATTTAATAATGACAAACACGTTATGCAGTGATTTTATAAAATAAAAATGTGTGCGTGTACTAGTGTACACACGTAAGAAGTGAAACTTCTTTATGGCCTTATTTTTTATTCGAAAAATGATCTACATGCAACTTTCCAGAAATTGGTTAGATAAAGTTAAATTAGATAAAGTTTAAACAAAAGGA